AGAGAAATGTCTATTCAAGACCTTTGCCTGTTTTTAAATTGGGTTATTTCCTTTTCTGCTGTTGAGTTGTAGCAGTTCCTTTCATATTCTGGACATTGACTTCTTAGGCTTATAGATGGCAAACATTTTCTCCTATTCTGTAGACTGCCTTTTCACTCTGTTGATTGTTTACTTTTCTGCGCAGAAACCTTTAGCTTGAAGTAATGACATTTGTCTATTTTTGGTTTTGTTGCTCGAACTTCTGATGTTATATCCAAGAAATCACTGCCCAGACCAATATCACGAAGATTTCCCCTATGTTTTCTGCTAGGAGTTTTACAGTTTCAGACCTCACATTTGAGTCTTTAATCCACTTTGAGTTTATTTTTGTGTGTGGTGTGAAGTAAGGGTAAAGTTTCATTCTTTTGCACGCGGATATTTACTTTTCCCAGCACCACTTACTGATGAGACTCTCCTTTCCCCATTGGATATTTTTGGCATGCTTGTTGAGGATCAGTTGGCCATATATGCGTGGGTTTATTTCCGGGTTCCCTATTCTATTCCATTGGTTCAAATGTCTGTTTTTATGACAAAACCATACTGTTTTGGAGACTGTAGATTTGTAATATATTTTGAAATCAGGAACTGTGACGCCTTCAGTTTTGTTCTTTCTCAAGTTGCTTTGGCTTTTTAGAGTCTTCTTTGGTTCCACATGAGTTTTAAGGATATTTTTACCATTTCTATAAAAAATACCATTGATATTTTGATAGGGATTGCATTGACTCTTAACAATATTAAGTCTCCCAAGCCATGAACATATGATGTATTTTTATTTATGTCTTCTTTAATTTTTTTTTACCAATATTTTCATAGTAGTCAGCGTACAAGTCTTTTCCCTCCTTGGTTAAGTTTATTCCTAAGTATTTCATTCTTTTTGATGCTTTTGTAAATGGGATTATTTTCTTAAATTCCTTTGCAGATAGTTTGTTACTAGTGTATATGATTTTTAAAATGTTGGCTTTGTATCCTGCCACTTTACTCAATTTATTAGTTTCAAGTATTTTTTTGTGGCATCTTTAGGATTTTATACATATAAGGTCATGTTATCTGCAGACAGGGGTAATTTTACTTCTTCCTTTCCAGTTTGGATGCTTTTATTTCTTTTTTGCCTAATTGCTCTGGCCAGGACTTCCAGTACAATGTGGGATAAAAGTGATGAGAATGGGCATCCTTGTGTTGTTCCTGGTCTCAGGCGAGAAGCTTTCAGCTTTTCATCATTGAGTATGATGGTGGCTGTGGGCTTGTCATATACGGCCTCTGTTATGTTGAGGTACATTCACCTCTACCCACTCTGTTGAGAGTTTTTGTCATAAATAGATGTTGAATTTTGTCAGATGCTTTCTCTGCTTCTATTGTTATGATCATTGATTTTTATTCTTCATCCTGCTAATGTGGTATATCATGTTGATTGATTCACGTATGTTGAACCATCCTAGGAATAAACCCAACTTGATCATGGTCTATGATCTTTTTTTTTTTAAAGATTTTATTTATTTATTTGAGAGAGAGAGAATGAGAGACAGAGAGCATGAGAGGGAGGAGGGTCAGAGGGAGAAGCAGACTCCCTGCCGAGCAGGGAGCCCGATGCGGGACTCGATCCTGGGACTCCAGGATCCTGACCTGAGCCGAAGGCAGTCGCTTAACCAACTGAGCCACCCAGGCGCCTGGTCTATGATCTTTTTAATGTGCTGTTGAATTCTGTCGGCCAGTAGTATTTTTTGGGGGGGGGGGGCTCATTATCACTGCCATTTTTAAATGTCAAGACAGTTTATTTAACTAACTATAGTTGTTTATGAGATAGGATAGGTTTTTAAAATGCTTAGAAGCTCGGCTCATTAGCAATTAAAAAGTGGGTCCAAGGGAAAAGCCTTGAAACCTGTATTATCAAATCATCATCTAGTTAAGCTGAAAAAGCTGTCTGCTCAAAAGTGGAAAGACAGAGTCTTATAAGTTTGTGGTTTTTTTTTTAAAGATTTTATTTATTTATCTGACAGATAGAGAGGCAGCAAGAGAGGGAACACAAGCAGGGGGAGTGGGAGAGGGAGAGGCAGGCTCCCCGCCGAGCAGGGAGCCCGATGTGGGGCTCGATCCCAGGACACTGGGACCATGACCTGAGCCGAAGGCAGACGCTTAACGACTGAGCCACCCAGGCGCCCCTAGACAGAGTCTTATATTCTGGTTGTTTGTCTTGCTTTTTCTTAAGTTGAAGTTTTCCAGAAGGGAAATATTTATTAATATTTTTATTAATAGATATATATTTCTAAAAGGAATATTTACTAATATAAAGTATGCATCATTGGAAAACAGCCCTCATTTCATGCTTCCCTCAGAGTACTATCCAATGTCCTTCCTTGTTGAAATGTGTCAATTAATGACTATGATAGACTATAATTTTTTTTTAAGATTTCATTTATTTAAATGAGAGAGACAGCAAGAGAGAGCGAGCACAAGCGGGGTGAGGGTGGAGGAGCAGAGGGAGAGGGAGAAGCAGACTCCCTGCTGAGCAGGGAGCCTGATTTGGGACTCGATCCCAGAATTCCGGGATCATGACCTGAGCCGAAGGCAGACGTTTAACCGACCAAGTGACCCAGGTGCCACCCGCCCCCCCCCGCCCCGACCTTTTGGAAGATTTTATTTATTTGAGAGGGAGAGAGATTTTTTAAAAGATTTTATTTATTTATTTGAGAGAGAAAGGGAGTTTCTTCTGTTTTTTAAAACTTGTAAGCAGATGACCTTTTTTTTAAATAATTTATTAACTTTGAAACTACTTTTTTATTGAGGTATAATTGACATGTAACATTATATTAGTTTCAGGTGTATAATGTAATGATTTAATATTTTTGTACATTGCAAAGTGATTTCCACAATAAGTCTGGTCCCTAAGTCTAGGGACATCTGTCCCTATACATAGTTATAATCTTTTTCTTATAATGAGAATTTTAAGATCTATGCTCCTAGCAAATTTCAAACATACAATCCAGTATTATTTTACCAATGCTGTACATTGCATCCCCATGACTTTATTTTATACCTGGAAATTTGTACCTGTAAACCCTCTTCACCCATTTCACCTACCATTACCCCCCCCCGCCCCCCCCCCGCCACGTCTGGCAACCACCAATCTGTTCTCTGTAGCTATGAGTTTGGGGTTTTTTCTCTTTTTCTTTTTTTAGATTCCACATACAAATGTGGCCATATGGTATTTGTCTTTCTTTGACTTATTTCACTTAGCATAATGTTCTCAAGGTCCATCAGTGTTGTTGCAAATGGCAAAATTTCCTTCATTTTATGGCTAAATAACATTCCTGTGTGTGTGTAAAGTATTCTCTTTATCCATGCATCCACTGATGGACACTTAGGTTGTTTTCCTATCAAGGCTGTTGTTAATCATGCTGCAGGGAACATGGGGTGAGACTCCTTTTGAGTTGGTGTTTTCATTTTTTTCAGATAAATACCCATAAGTTGAAATTGCTGGGTCATATGGTAGCCCTATTTTAATTTTTTGAAGAACCTCCATACTATTTCCCACAGTGGCTGCATCAGTTTAAAATCCCACCAGCAGTGTGCAAAGGTTCCCTTTCCTCCACGTCCTCACCAACACTTAGTTCTTGTCTTTTTGATATTAGTCATTCTCCAAGTGTGAAGTGATATCTTGTTGTGGCTTTGATTTATATTTTTCTGGTGATGAGTGATGTTGAGCACCTTTTTTTTTTATGTACCTGTTGTCCATCTGTATGTCTTCTTTGGAAAATGTCTATTTAGATCCTCTGCCCTTTTAACAAATTTTATCACAGTATCACTGCTATACAATGTTCTGTTAGCTTCAGCTGTACGATTCTGTACACTGTGCAGTGCTCCCTTCTGTCACCATAATTGCGTGGTTCCCATCTGTCACCATACAGCACTATTAATTATTGACTATATCCTGTGCTCTGCCTGTTTTTAAATCAGATTGTTTGGTTTCTTTGCTAATGGGTTGCATGACTTCTTTATACGTTTTGGATTTTACCCCATATCAGATACATGATTTAAAAAATATCTTCTCCCATTCAGTAAGCTTCCTTCTTATTTTGTGATTGTTTTCTCTGCGGTGCTGAAGCTTTTTTATTTTTGCCTTTGTTGCCTTAGCTTTTAGTGTCAAGTCTAGAAATCATCACCAAGACCTCTGTCAAGTAGTTTGGTGCTTATGTTGTCTTCGAGGAGTTTTACAGTTTTAGGTCCTACATTCAGGTAATTTGTCTTCAGGTAATTTTTGTACTTGGTGTAAGATCCAATTCTCCCAGAACCCTTTATTGAAGAGACTGTCCTTTCCCCAGTGCATATTCTAGGCTCCTTTGTTATAAATTACTTGACCTTATATGTGTGGGTTTATTTCTGAGCTCTCTACTCTGTTCCATTGATCCACGTTTCTGTGTTTATGCCAATATCCTACTTTTTTTTTCAAGTTTGCATTTTTAATAACATAAATTACCAACAAGGTCTTGACCTAGTAATCAAAAATTAAAGCCTCAAAATCTAAAAACAAGAAACAGACTAAATCACACACTAATCTGACCAAACAAACTAATCCTGGAATATTTCCCAAATAAAAAAGTAAGCACAATTATCACATTCCATGTTTCAGAGAAGAGGCATTAAGGATTCATGCCATAAGTTTATTTACAAACATATTGAGTATGTTGAAATCAAGAGTTTGATCCATTTTTCAGAGACTGCACGTCTTAAAATGTTCTTTTCACATCTGTTTGATGGGTTAATTAAAACATCCTTACTTTTTTTTTTTTTTAAGATTTTATTTATTTATTTGACAGAGAGAGACACAAGCAGGGGGAGGGGAGAGGGAGAAGAGGGCTTCCTGCGGAACAGGGAGCCCGGTGCGGGGCTTGATCCCAGGACCCTGAGATCATGACCTGAGCCGAAGGCAGACGCTTAACGACTGAGCCACCCAGGCGCCCTAAAACATCCTTACTTCTTAAGCAGCTGATGTCTTGCTATAAAAAAAGGTGCAGCAAATCCAGATCCAAAGTACAAAGTCATCATAAGTAGTAATCGCCAGTTGTTGTCCACTGAAAATGGCAAATTCTTCCCTGGGCCCTCCTCATAGTGGCTCCTACGGACCACAGAGCGTGTGAGCCTCCAGATGCTCTGTCCCAACATGGCGCCGTTGGAAGTTCTTCAAAAGGGGCAGAGCCCTGAGACCATAGAAATGGCAGCACCTCCAAGTCTCCTCTTCTCACGACCTTGTTCCTTGGTGTGTGTCAATATTATACTGTTTTGATAGCTATAGATTTGTAATACAGCTTGAAATCAGGGACCAGGATGCTGCCATCTTCTTTTTAAGATTGCTTTGGGTATTCAGGGTCTTTTGTGGTTCCATATAAATGTTAGGATTGTTTGTCCTATTTCTGTGAGAAAAGCCATGGAATTCTGATAGCGATTGCTCTGAACCCATAGATTTTTTTGGGTAGAATGGACATTTTAACAATATTAAGTCTTCCAATCCCTGAGCACAGTATGTCTTTCTATTTATTTGCATTTTCTTTGGTTTCCTTTATGAATGTCTTATAGTTTTCAGTGTACAAGTGTTTACCTACTTGGTCACTTTATTCCCATGTATTTTATTCTTTTTGATGCAATTTAAAATGGGATTGTTTCTTTATTCAACTTTCTGATGGTTCATTTTTAGTGTGTCAAAACACAACAGATTTTTGTATATTGATTTTGTATCCTGCAACGTTGCTGAATTTATTAGTGCCGATAGCTTTTTGATGGAGTTTTTGGATTTTCTGTATATAATATCATGTCATCTGAAAATACTGACAGTTTTGCTTCTTCCTTTCTGATTTAGATTCCTTTGATTCCTTTTTCTTGCCTAATTGCTCTGGCTAGGACTTCCAATACTATATTGAATAAAAATGGTGAGAAAGGGGGCGCCTGGGTGGCTCAGTTGGTTAAGCAACTGCCTTCGGCTCAGGTCATAATCCTGGAGTCCCTGGATCGAGTCCCGCATCGGGCTCCCTGCTCGGCAGGGAGTCTGCTTCTCCCTCTGACCCTCCCCCCTCTCATGTGCTCTTTCTCTCTCATTCTCTCTGTCTCAAATAAATAAATAAAATCTTAAAAAAAAAAAATGGTGAGAAAGGGCATCCTTGTCTTCTTCCTAATCTTAAAAGAAAAGCTTTTAGCTTTTCACTTTTGAGTGTGATGCTAGCTGTGGGCTTGTCATATATGGCCTTTTTTTTTTTTTTAAAGATTTTATTTATTTATCTGACAGAGAGAGAGAGAGAACAAGTAGGCAGAGAGACAGGCAGAGGGAGAGGGAGAAGCAGGTTCTCCGCTGAGCAGGGAGCCCGATGCAGGGCTCGATCCCAGGACCCTGGGATCATGACCTGAGCCGAAGGCAGACGCTAAACCAGCTAAGCCACCCAGGCGCCCCTGTATGGCCTTTTTTATATTGAGGTATGCTCCCTCTCTGCCTACTTTGTTGAAAGTTTTTAACATAAATGGATGTGGAATTTTGTCAAATGCTTTTTCTGCATCTATTGAGATGATTATAGATATTTATATTTCATTTTGTTAATGTGGTGTGTCATATTGATTGATTTGTGGATGTTGAACCATCTTTCCATCCCTAGAATAAAACCCACTTGATCATGGCATATGGTCCTTTTAATGTATTGTTTAATACAATTTGCTAATATTTTGTTGAGGATTTTTGCATCTATGTTTATCAGGGATACCGGCCTGTAATTTTCTTGTGGTGTTCCTGTCTGGCTTTGCCATCAAGGTAATGCTGGAGTTCTAAAATAAGTTTGGAAGTGTTTCTTCTTTTTCCACCAGGACTACTGACTTAGGCAGCCTTGTTTTGTAGAAGTTCTCCAAAAGAAATGTTTCAAAATTCAAACTTGTAAATATAAATAGAATTTCTTTATGTAGCCAAAGCATGCTTTGCCTTTGTATTTATAGCCAGACATCTTTTAAAATTAAAATAATTATTTTATTATAATATTTTTACAATTTAAAAAATCTTTTTGAGATTCACCTTCAGAAAGTAAAAAAATAATAATAACAAAATCATTCTCTACTAGAAGAGAACTCCTTTTTTTTTTTTTTATTAACGTATAATGTATTATTTGTTTCAGGGGTACAGGTCCGTGATTCAACAGTCTTACACAATTCACAGCACTCACCATAGCACATACCCTCTCCAATGTCCACCACCCAACCACCCCATCCCTCCGACCCCCCTCCCCTCCAGCAACCGTCAGTTTGTTTCCTGAGATTAAGAGTCTCTTATGGTTTGTCTCCCTCTCTGGTTTCATCTTGTTTCATTTTCCCCTACCTTCCCCTATGATCCTCTGTCTTGTTTCTCAAATTCCTCATATCAGTGAGATCATGTGATAATTGTCTTTCTCTGATTGACTTATTTCACTCAGCCTAATACCGTCTAGTTCCATCCACGTCATTGCAAATGACAAGATTTCATTCCTTTTGATGGCTGCATAATATTCCATTGTATATATATACCACTTCTTCTTTATCCATTCATCTGTCGATGGACATCTGGACTTTTCCCATAGTTTGGCTATTGTGGACATTGCTGCCATAAACATTGGGGTGCATGTGCCCCTTTGGATCACTACATTTGTATCTTTGGGGTAAATACCCAGGAGTGCAATTGCTGGGTCACAGGGTAGCTCTATTTTCAACTTTTTGAGGAACCTCCATACAGTTTTCCAGAGTGGCTGCACCAGTTTGCATTCCCACCAACAGTGTAGGAGGGTTCCCCTTTCTTCACATCCCCGCCAACATCTGTCGTGTCCTGACTTGTTAATTTTAGCCATTCTGACTGGTGTGAGGTAGTATCTCATTGAGGTTTTGATTTGGATTTCCCTGATGCTGAGCGATATTGAGCACTTTTTCATGTGTCTGTTGGCCATTTGGATGTCTTCTTTGCAGAAATGTCTGTTCATGTCTTCTGCCCATTTCTTGATTGGATTCTTTGTTCTTTGGGTGTTGAGTTTGATAAGTTCTTTATAGATTTTGGATACTAGCCCCTTATCTGATATGTCATTTGCAAATATCTTCTCCCATTCTGTCGGTTGTCTTTTGATTTTGTTGGCTGTTTGCTATGCTGTGCAAAAGTATCTTGATGAAGTCCCAATAGTTCATTTTTGCCCTTGCTTCCATAGCCTTTGGCAATCTGTCTAAGAAGAAGTTCCTGTAGCTGAGGTCGAAGAGGTTGCTGCCTGTGTTCGCCTCAAGGATTTTGATGGATTCCTGTCTCACATTGAGGTCTTTCATCCATTTGGAGTCTATTTTTGTGTGTGTAAGGAAATGGTCCAGTTTCATTCTTCTGCATGTGGCTGTCCAATTTTCCCAACACCATTTGTTGAAGAGACTGTCTTTTTTCCATTGGACATTCTTTCCTGCTTTGTCAAAGATGAGTTGACCATAGAGTTGAGGGTCCATTTCTGGGCTCTCTATTCTGTTCCACTGATCTATGTGTCTGTTTTTATGCCAGTACCATACTGTCTTGATGATGACAGCTTTGTAATAGAGCTGGAAGTCTGGAATTGTGATGCCGCCGGCTTTGCTTTTCTTTTTCAACATTCCTCTGGCTATTCAGAGTCCTTTCTGGTTCAATACAAATTTTAGGGTTATTTGTTCCATTTCTTTGAAAAAAGTTGATGGTATTTTGATAGGGATTGCATTAAATGTGTAGATTGCTCTAGGTAGCATAGACATTTTCACAATATTTATTTTTCCAATCCATGAGCATGGAATGTTTTTTCATTTTTGTGTGTCTTCCTCAATTTCTTTCATGAGTATTCTATAGTTTTTTGAGTACAGATACTTTGCCTCTTTGGTTAGATTTATTCCCAGGTATCTTATGATTTTGGGTGCAATTATAAATGGGATCGACTCCTTAATTTCTCTTTCTTCTGCCTTGTTGTTGGTGTATAGGAATGCCACTGACTTCTGTGCATTGATTTTATATCCTGCCACTTGACTGAATTCCTGTATGAGTTCTAGCAGTTTTGGGGTGGAGTCTTTGGGGTTTTCCACATAAAGTATCATATCATCTGCAAAGAGTGAGAGTTTGACCTCTTCTTTGCCAATTTGGATGCCTTTTATTTCTTTTTGTTGTCTGATTGCTGTGGCTAGGACTTCCAATACTATGTTGAATAGCAGTGGTGATAGTGGACATCCCTGCCGCATTCCTGACCTTAGGGGGAAAGCTCTCAGTTTTTCCCCATTGAGAATGATATTCGCTGTAGGTTTTTCCTAGATGGCTTTTATGATATTGAGGTATGTACCCCCTATGCCTATACTCTGAAGAGTTTTGATCAAGAAAGGATGCTGTACTTTGTCAAAAGCTTTTTCTGCATCTATTGAGAGGATCATATGATTCTTGTTCTTTCTTTTGTTAATGTATTGTATCACATTGATTGATTTGCGGATGTTGAACCAACCTTGCAGCCCAGGGATAAATCCCACTTGGTCGTGGTGAATAATCCTTTTAATGTACTGTTGGATCCTATTGGCTAGTATTTTGGTGAGAATTTTTGCATCCATGTTCATCAGAGATATTGGTTTGTAATTCTCCTTTCTGATGGGGTCTTTGTCTGGTTTTGGGATCAAGGTAATGCTGGCCTCATAAAATGAGTTTGGAAGTTTTCCTTCCATTTCTATTTTTTGGAACAGTTTCAAAACAATAGGTATTAATTCTTCTTGAAATGTTTGGTAGAATTCCTCTGGGAAGCCATCTGGCCCTGGGCTCTTGTTTGTTGGGAGATTTTTGATGACTGCTTCAATTTCCTTAGTGGTTATAGGTCTGTTCAGGTTTTCTATTTCTTCCTGGTTCAGTTTTGGTAGTTGATACATCTCTAGGAATGCCTCCATCTCTTCCAGGTTATCTAATTTGCTGGCATAGAGTTGCTCATAATATGTTCTTATAATTGTTTGTATTTCTTTGGTGTTGGTTGTGATCTCTCCTCTTTCATTCATGATTTTGTTTATTTGGGTCATTTCTCTTTTCTTTTTGATAAGTCTGGCCAGGGGTTTATCAATCTTGTTAATTCTCTCAAAGAACCAGCTCCTAGTTTTATTGATCTGTTCTACTGTTCTTTTGGTTTCTATTTCATTGATTTCTGCTC